CTAATGCTGCAAAATAACATAACTTAAATATAAGTCCTCGGGGGAAAATTTACCCCTTCTGTTTATTTTTGGCACATATGATATTAAAAAGGCTTATTTCCAAGAACTGGTTAATTGTTCATTTAAAAAAAGTGTACAAACTAACCTTTTAAACAACAAACTCTTGTTCCGGAAGGCAGACAGCTTTTCATCATTCTTTCTGTCTAGATAACATCCAAGGACAAACCCCATGGGCACAAGTATATGTACCCAGTGGTCACGAACAATCTGAATTACATTCATCCTGAGTGCTAGGAAAAAAAAAAAGATTATCAGAAATATAACTGCTTTTGAAATATCTTGAAAAATTGCATCTGAAGCAGGAGGATAGCCCTGAATATAGGAGATAGATGTTACAAGCATAATAAGCCTCTTCAAATTTGCTTTGGCATCAGAATGTAGTATACAACTTAAAATCTACTTGATGACAATTATACAGGTGACAATGATTAGTATAAAAATTGCACCGCACTAAAATCAATTTATTAACTTCCTTTTTAGCTCCACTAGTGGTCTGATATGGTATAGCACAGAGAAATGGAGAGTATAAAAAATACTAGACTAAAACGTGAAACGTGAGCCCAGCTGTCCACGGGAAGAAACCCCCATTTCACTTTCCCGTCTCCACCGCTCGCAAACCCGGGGTAGGTCCGGACCAACCCTCGCCTAGAGACACCGCCGCCGCCCAGGGCTTCCCTAGAGGTGGACCCTCCCCGCCTGCACAACGGGGACCCGCGGCGTCTCGGCTCATCTTGGACCCCGGAAAATTTTACCTGCAAAGGCTGAATATTTGCACCCTCCAACTATTAATTTAAAACTTTTACATGTGTAAAATATTTTTAGAACCTCTGACAATGCTAAAACAAATGTAATTATACTATTATGCCCAAAGCAGAATTCTTTAGTTAAGATAACATTATTGAAAACTAATTTTTCAATTAGCAGTAGTTGTGACTCAGATAAACCCCATTAGCTACAATACTGCTAATGCACAAAGCTGAAAACTAATTTTTGAAAGGAAATAAAATGAGAGAAATTTTAAAAAACCACTGCATTCAACAATGTCATGGTAGATCTCAATATCAACTCAAAGATTTTACAAAAGATAGGGACAGAAAGGAATTTACTTTTATAGAATAACTACTAGGTACCAGGGCCATCATATAATCTTATACATAACATGAAATAACTATTATTATCCTCATTTTATAGACTAAAAAACAGCTTAACCTAAACAGGTATTAAGTACAGAGCTGGAATCCAAGCTCAGGTTTCCTCCAAAAATCTTTTTCTATTAGATCTCAGTATCTCTCTCAAAGACCTCTTCTCGAATTGATATTTATGGTACTTAAGGGCTTTTAAGTTCTAAGGTTTTCTAAAAGGTAGAGGAGGAGGACTAGAACTAGAAGTCACCATATGGAAAATAAATTTGCCTTAATTAAAAAAGAGTTGAATTGTCAGTTTCTGCAAAAACTTGTACCTAAAGATGAAATCAAAATGTACCTGCCTACGCATGAATCTAAGATGAATAAATCATATACAATGGCTGAGAAGGCATGTGACAACACCCTGGTAAGAGAATACTGCCGACAAAAGTGCTCAGCACTAAACTGTGCTAGGGTTAGGTAGACTGGATTCCTGCCTCTCCTAAGACACTGATTCTCACACTTAACACATTTCAATTCTTTATTTCTCAAACTTCATCACTGTCTAAAGGTACCGGGCAAGAAAATGGACATGAAGTTAACAGTTGCACAATTACTCTATACTCTATATGATAAAGTGTAACATTACATACAGCAGGTTCCAATCTGGAAAACTATGTAACATTAACAAGTTATTTAAAATATGTAACTTACAGTTTAGTCATTAATTAAAGGTTTAGTCTACCGTCTACAGCTGGAATTCTCAAACCTGACTGCGTATCAAAAACATCTGTGGAGCCTTTATCAAAATAGGGACTTTTGGGCGGGGGGTGTAGGCTGGTGGCTGTCAGTTGAGCATCAGGCTCTTGGTTTTGGCCCAGGTTGTGATCTCATGGGTTGTGGGATCGGGCCCCAGGTCAGGCTCCCTACTTGGCAGGGAGTCTGTTTCAAGATTCTCTCCCTCTGCCCCTCTCCCCGTTCATGAGATCGTGCGCTCAAATAAATAAATCTTTAAAACAAACAAAATAGGTACTTTCGGTCCTCCTTCCTTGTGGGACTGGAAAAACCTATAGTTGAAAGAACTTTTTAGATGATTTGATGAAAATAGTTCTTGGGCAACCTTATTTCCTAGAGGATGGCGGCTTTCTTAGCACTATGCCTTCCTTAAGTAACGTTATTTGCATTTAGATACTGAAGCACTCTGTGAATCTGACCAAGTGCCCACCAAGTTAGCCACTTACTTGTTTAATAAACTTGAACCAGTCAAGTATAGGAATAACAATACATGCCTTAATCAACTAATGTAACTTTGAAAGCACAAAACTGCAAAATACTAGACAATGTAGGTCTCTGTAAAAGTCAAGTGGCCATATATTCAGTCACCTGTCCTCACAGGTTCCTCAAATTTCTTAACAGGGGGTCAAGCCTAACCCTCAGCACAGGTGAGTCAGATACTATCTGTATTTTAACCAACAACAAAGTGCTTATTGACTTAGCCCAAGACTGTTCTAAATAAGCCCATGGACACCTGTGGGCTATAAGCCATATTGTTGTTGGCATTCTTCCAACAGGGCAAGTAGCTATTGTCTGGCTCTAGTCTGAGAATCTGAGAAGAGGTGAGACAAACCCCTGAGACTCTGGCTGCACATAGGCTCTTACATACACTCTGTAAGTGAAGACTGATAGATAAAAGGATTCTGTGTATTCAAAATCCAGAGTTGGGCTCAGCCACCATGATTCCATCGCTAACAGGTAAATGACAAATGTTAGTCCATGAGACATTTCATATTACATGTGTATAATCTATTTAATGGACTTCGGAAGCAGTGGCATTGAACGTAATTTGTCCTCTGTATTTCACTGTGAGTGAATGACTGGGGAGAACAAAGATTTATGGACCTAAGAAGTGAGCTACAACGATTTCTTGTAGAATGGATAGGAGGAGGGATATAGACAGGCTCTGGTCATGAGCCCAAGACCACAGGGGGCTTTATCTGATGGGTAAAGGGCAGTGAGGTCCTGGACAGGCTCCAATGAAACAAGCTGAGGTTTGGATAGAGTGACATCCACATGGGTGCCCATGAGGGTACTGCACATTTTTTTTTTTTTTTGAGGGGGCAGAGAGCAAAGGGAGAGGGAGAATCTTAAGCAGGCTCCATGCTCAGCACAGACGTGGAACACCACCTCACGACCCTGAGATCATCACCTGAGCCGCAATCAAGAGTTGGATGCTTAACCTACTGGGCCACCCAGGCACCCCATTAGTGTCTCCTTTATTAAGACTCATGAAAAATCCTTCTTTTACTTCAGAACTGGGACTTGCTATGGTATTCCTAAGAAAAACTAGTTTTTATCTTAGGGACTCAAGGAATCATGTAACTGATCACCTATCCTTTATTACCAACACGGTTCAAATTTTTTGCCTAGCTCTAGAAAGAACTGTTATAGCACTGTCAGGTACGGTTCTTATTGCTTTTCATAATCACTAACTCATGTAATCTTCACAATACTATGTGTGTATTCACTAATGTCCCCAATGTAGTAGGCATATTTTTTTTTTCAGATGAGGAAATCCAGGGGCAATCGACTTGCCTAAGGTCACAGATGCAGTAAGTGGCAGAGTCAGGCAGTCTGACTTCTTGGTCCAAGCTATTTGTGTTTTATTGTCTGTTAGGGTAACTATAGAGATAAACATTTAGACTGACCTCACTCAGCGTTATCTTATTTTTCCCAACATTACTTTTTCTTCAACCAATTTTTCCCGCCTAACTTCTAAAAAGAAAACTGGATCTGGTGTGTATTTTTATGTCAATTCATGTTGTTAAACGTAGATGAATAAATATTTCAAAAATTAAATCCTAATCTCTGATTGGTCTCCACAGCATTTTAGATCGACTTTTTTTTTTGAACAATACATAATCTATGAAAAGCAGGGCTGGATGCACGGAGAAACTGAACTCCTTGAGGTCTGGAACCAACCGTGTCTTAATAACCGAGTACAAATTAAGTATTACGTTTTTAAAAAGTGATTTTTTGTGTGTGGAATGGTCGGCTCAAAAGGGTTTGCGATTTGGAAGAGAAGGTTAGTTTCCAATCCTGGGAGCACCGAGACAGAACGCTGGAACTTGGACGAATCTGGGATGCTCGCGCCTTCCCTCCAGCCTAGGAGCGTGATCCCGGCCTGTCTTCTCTCCGGTCCGGCCAGGGGCAGTCACCGGGTGATCCCCAAAGACGTTTTCCAGTAATGACAGCCTCCCACTACCCTTTCCAAAAGCCGTCAGGTGCGAAACGTGAGCCCACGTGTCCACGGGAAGAAACCCCCATTTCACTTTCCCGTCTCCACCGCTCGCAAACCCGGGGTAGGTCCGCGCCACCCCGCGCCTAGAGACACCGCCGCCGCCGCCGCGGGCTTCCCTAGAGGTGGACCCTCCCCGCCTGCACAACGGGGACCCGCGGCGCCTCGGCTCATCTTGGACCCCGGACCCACCTGCGGCCTTGGTGCCAAAAACGACCCCACGACCAAGGGCAGCGACGACCCAACCACCGGCGCCGGCGGAAGCTGCGGCCTCGGGACCTGCCACTCGCTACGCTCGCTCGAAGAGAGGGGTGGCGCTGGGAAACCAGACCTCTTCTTCCTTTTGCCGTTGGACTCTTCTTGTACTTATTGTAGCTCTCACGCATTATAAATATTTTAAAAATAAGACTTCGGCGCAGGGTGACGAGACTTTAGTCGTAAGCGCCATCTCCTTCCCACAGCTGCGTCCCCCCCCCCGAAGATGGTATCGCCCTGGGCCTTCCCCGCCTCGGAGGCTCGCCTCCACTTTCAAAATGGCGGCCGCCATCGGGGGGCTTCTGCTGGCTGGTCGTCCCGGGTGCCTCTGAGCGAGCATCAGCTTTTCTCGCTCTTGAACCTGGATTCGACTGGGGGTTGGGAAGGGCAGTGGACGGCGTTGGGGGAGGACTGGCGAGGCAAGTGAGGGCGGAGGAAAGGAGCGAGACTTCGGATGGGGGAGGGGGCGTCCTCGGCCCTCAGGGAGACCCTGGCGCCACTTGTCCGGGTGGGCGCTGGGGACGTGCTCCTGGGGTTTCGGTGGCGACTGTCCTGGCCGGGCCTGGCGGAAGTGCTCATCGAGGGAAAGAGACGTGATTTCTCCGTGGGTCTAAAGCTCCCGGTGTTTGTAGCAGTCCGTACGATTCACTCCTGTGTTCTCCTTCCCTCTTTTTGCCGTTTCCCGGTGACCTTTCAGTTTCGGCGCTGGAGGAGTTAATCCGACGCCGGCTTTGGCGCCTTTGGCCCTCGTGGTTGCTGTGTTTTTGGCCGCCTCGCTGGGGGTCTTCCGTGGTCTCGGGTTCAGAGACCACGAGGCTGCCAAGCCCTGGGCACAAAGTAGGCGTTCTTTTTTAGTTAGTCGATTCCCAGGGACCTTTTAAGTTGTTAACCGGCCTCCCGCTCCCCCCCCCGCCCCAGCGCCCCAGCGCCCCAGCCCTCCAGGCTCCCTTTGCCCTCAAGCGCTTCCATCACTGTATTATTACATGCTCTTAAGTAAACGAGGTCAGACGAGCCTTAACCCCGGCAAGTCTGGCCTCCTGTCACCAGCCGAACATGAGTTACCCATTGCGCATCCCCTAAGTTTTTATCTTCTGTCCCCTGTGATTTTTTTTTTAGGAAACCAGTTCTCTTCCCGAACTGACCAGGAAAAGACTTTTTGGTCTTCGTGAGCTCGAGGGCCAACCCAGATTCCTTCGTTTTCCCTTGGATTTTGCCTAGTTCCCTTTCGCTGTCAGCAACATGCAAGGTCATTATTGAGAGAGCGAGTAACTGTGAGAGATAATTGAGATGAAGTAGTATCCGTCAGGAAGGAATTGATGGTCTGGTTCGGGTTCATTCTTTAAGCACACGTGTGTGTTGCTTTGAGTGCTGTGCTTGAATTTGTCGATACAAAGATGATCGCTTTTGCTCTTAGCCTGTACATTCAGCATCCATTCAATAAATATTCTTGGTGCGCAGTTTGTGTTAGGTAAAAAAAAACAACAACCTCCTGAGGCCACCAAAAAAGCTTCATAAAGGAATAAATATTTCAGCTGGGTTTTGAAGGGTCAAAAGGAATTTACAAGGCTCAGGAGAAGGTCATTCCTGGATGCAGAAACTTGAGCAGTTTTGGCATACTGAGGGAGAGTGGGAAGATAAATGTGCTTGCGCATGCAGTGCAAGGGTGGTTGGTGAACGAAGAGGAAGATTGAGAGCAGCTTGTGAAGGACTTTGATTTCCAGCTAAGGAGTTTAGATTTTATTTGTTAGAAGGTGCATACTATGCACAAGGAAAGGGCATGAGTATATTTGTTTTTTTTAGGGTGGTCTCTGACAGCTGTATGGAGGATCAACTTGGAACAGGAAAACTAGATAAGAGGAAATTGTAGTCATTGAGGTAAGGTAATGATTGCCTCAATTGAAGTAGGATAGTGAAGGGTGTAAGAAAGACCTTTCTGAAATGTCAAATAGGATTCAATGGGTGGCTGCAGTTTGGTGGAGGGAGGGTGACTCCAGAGTTTTTGGTCCAGGAAACTATATGGATGATGATACCATTAAAATCAAGCCTAAGATATGTACATAAAAATAGAATGGTGCCAACCTGCACCTTAAGGAGTGGGAGAGCACAATGCTGTACCATACGAAGCATTGATTTTAGAGTCTAGATTTGTGCTATTACAGTAGCCACAAGCTGCATGTAGCTGTTGAACCCTTGAAATTGTGGTTAGATTGAATTGAGATGTGCTGTAAATATAAAATACACACTGGACAAAGACTTGGTATGAAAAACAATGTAAAATATCTCAATAATAATGGCTACGTACTGAAATGATAATATTTTGAATGTGTTGGGCTCAATAAAGTATATTAAAATTAATTTCACCTGTAAAACTTTTCAGTGTGGCTATGAAAAATAAATTTAATTACATTTGTGGCTTGCATTATGTTTTGGTTGGGCAGATTCGATGTAGTCTAGACTAATGATAAAGGAATTCGTATGGAGGTGCCATTTGAGCTAGGCCTTGAGACCGTGGTGAGCAGTGATGTCAGCAGCTTGCTGGTGCCCTCCATTGCCAGTTAAGGCATTCAGGTTTTTGTTTTTTCAAGCAGTGAGAAGCCTTCAGAGATTTCTGAGCAAGGGTTAATATGTGGAGGGGTGTTTCTGAAGATTAATCTGACAGTCATGTTTAGGTTGAGATGAAGGAGGAAAGGCTGGAGGGAGAGAAACAGAAACCCAAATATAAGGTAATGAGGCCTTGCTTTAAGGTACTGGTGGTAGGAGGGGAAAGGGGATGATACACAGGTGAGGCATTTTGAGGGAAAAATAAGCAGGAGTTGGTAACAGACTATTCAAGAAGAAGTAAAGGAAGGAATCAAATGTAGAGTTTCAAGCCTTGGTTACTTAGATAAGGACTAATGAATTCATGTCATACGATTATAAAGTACATCTGAGGCTAGAGGAATTTAATCTCAAAATAGAACCAGCAAAGTTGGAAGGAGGAAGTGGTCTGCTAAATACTCTTCCTTTTTATCTCCTTGCTTTCTGTATCTTATCTAATCAATCAGACCCACCAGCTCATTTTCCTAAAATACGGAATTTCCTGTATTATGTCATCTTACTTAAAAATGGATCTTAAAATGTTTGTTGCCTGAAGAACGAGGTCCAGAGTCCAAGACCTTCCATTATCTGGCCCTTTTCTGTTCAGTACTTTTTTTTCATTTTTTTGCTTATATGAAGGTGTGCTCGGCTGGTTTTTCCACTAAAACTCTGTCAGTTTTTATGTGCCTTTGATCATGTTATTCCCCTGTTTTGAATACCTTTTCTTTTTGTCTCTTTCTACTCAGGTCCTACTAATCCTTAACAAGTAATTTAAGATCCCACCTCTTTTATGCTTCTCAATAACATACGCTAATGTCAGTTTTTAAAATCTTATTTCCTAAACTGCATATTTTAGCTCATGATTATAACCAATTTGGTACATTATTTTTGTCTTTTATTATCCTTTTATTATCTCTGTTTTATGTAAGCTTTAGCTTCCTAAAATTATGACAAGTTTCTTTTTTAAAAAAGGACCATTTATTATACTACTTGCCGCTGCTTGTGATGTTCATCTTAGGGCACGACATAGAAGTTAAACACCGTAATTAGAAGTGACTCTGTTGTACCACATTCATCAGACTCTCATTTCTTTATTTTTTAGATTTATAAAGAACTCTTCCCTTGAATTCATGGTGTTTCATCCTATGTACAACTGAGATATCAGTAAGTAATGAATGTGTCTAATAAAGATACAGCTTTATTATGTTATGAGCAATTGTATTAAAAATATCTTCACCTATTGAAATCTGAGTCTGTGTGCAAAAAGGTTTAACATGAACTCATTTACTTCTGTCTGCAAGATCTTTCGTATTTTCACTTCATAATCTAAAGAAAGGGGAAGTGAAGGTGGATTTGAGTTAAAAAGAGTTTCTCTTAGGCCATTAATATAATTATCGTACAGGAAACTTTTCGGCAGGGAGAATTTTTAGTAGATCCTTTCCAAAATTGTATTTATAAATGATTTTCATCAAATTGGAGAATTAATATCTTTGTATTTCTCATACCTCACAAATAGGAACATACTAAGCCAATATATTTTTAATTTTAACTTGTTTCATCAGTTCTTTACTGAACAACTGCTATGTGTTTAAAACGTGCTAATATAGTAAGGATACAAAAATGGATCAAGCCTGGTCTTACACTCAAGAGAGCTCTCACAAGCAAAGGGAAGTGCATATAAATAGGTAACTGTTAATGGTGCGGTAAGGGCACTAAGCTCATTTGACACGAGCCATACTTCATTCATTTAAGAAGCTTTTATTGACCCTCTACTACGTGTTAGGCACTATGGAGGCATTGGAGGATAACTGTGACCAAAATAGATAAGGTCTATTTTTGCATGGAGTCCATGATCTAGTGCTGGCGTGAGGAGGAGAGATGGGGGTGGGCAAAGCAAGTAAATAAGTAGCAGGTATAGAGAGCAGTATTTTGAGGGAAATGGAGTAATGTTGCAGGATGTAACAGGTAGGGAAGGACTTTAGAGTTGTTAGAAAACCATCTCAGAATAAATTTGAGGCAGGGAAAATATACAAACTAGCTAGAGATCTTAGTGACAATGGAGATGGAAGGAAATTTGAGAAATAGGATGGAGGTAAAAATGCAGCACTTACCGATAGATTGGATGTGGGATACAAAGGAAAGGAAGGACTCAAGGATGATGCCATCAGAGATCAGATGATACTTATGGCTGCGGAACTGGTGAGATTACCTGGAAAGAAAGAAATAAGTCCTACTGAAGAGCACTGCCACATTTAGAGGTTAAAGAAAGAAAGTAACTAGCAAGGGAGATGGGGGAGTGACGAGTTAGATACAAGGAAAACCAGGAGAGGGTTGACACAGAAGCAGAGGGAGGAGAGCATTTCAAGGAGGCCGAACACTTACTTTTACTGAATGTTGCTATGATTTCTGCCAGTTGAGGCCAGAGAAATAAATGCCCATTGGCTTAAATTGCATAGAGGTTGGTCAGTGACCTTGATGAAAGCACTTTTTTTTTAAAGATTTTATGTATTTATTTGACAGAGACACAGCAAGAGAGGGAGCACAAGCAGGGGGAGTGGGAGAGGGAGAAGCAGGCTTCCTGCTGAGCAGGGAGCCCAATGTGGGGCTTGATTCCCAGGACCCTGGGACCATGACCTGAGCTGAAGGCAGACACTTAATGACTGAGCCACCCAGGCGCCCTGGTGAACGCACTTCTGGTGGGCTGGTGGAGGAAGATGCTAGCTTTGGGAGTCTGAATGGGAGGTGAGAAAGTGGAGACACATTTGTGGACAAATATTCTGAGAACTTGCTGTGAAAGGGGAGCATAGAAGTGATGAAGTACTTGCAGGGGATTGTAGGATTAAGAGAGGGTTCTTTTAAATAGGGGAATTCTAGAGGATCTGCGTATGCTAATAGGAATGGTACATCAATGATACATGGATATTGCAGGGAAAAGAGGGAATGACTGAAGAGGTTCAGTCCTCTAGAAGGTAAAAAAATGAGAATAGGATCCAGAGTACTCATGGGGATTGGCCTTGGATGAGAGCAGTGCCATTGATTCCTTGTAATCAGAGACACAATGGTGTTCATGCAGATACATTAATAGAATTGGTATTGGAGAATGGGTTACTGTCTAATGACTTTGTTTTCTAACTGAAAAATGAGGTGAGATGATCAGCTGAGAGTAGGGTGGAGGGAATGGTGCATGATGCTTGAGCAGAGAAAAGGTGATGTGAAATCATATCAGAGATAGTCAACCTACTACAAAAACTCAGATTGATAGGTAGTGCTTAGTGCCTGTTTGACATATGTATATATATTTTTTCCATTTGAGATTTTTGACTTTAAAGAGTAAGTAGCACAGTGGTGGGATTGTTTGTTTGTTTTTTCTCTGGCAACATTCAGTTTCTGGAATAGGCAAAGTGAAGGACTGGAGTCAGTCAGGGTTGGGGTTTTGCCAGGCTGGTACAAGGAAGGACTAGAGCGGCCAGATACTTGATCGTGTTTGCAAGATACTCATGGTGGATTGTGGATCAACAGGAAGGACATGAATGGAGACAGGAGGGGGTGAAAGAGCAGTTGGGGGGTTAGAGATTCGGTGAGGCCGAAGGATGTTCGAGGTGGGATTACTGAGTAAGCAAGGCGGGAGTGAGAGCATGAGACGCCAGAAGGTGAACATTTGGAAATGGTGCAGCTCAGGGGTGATGAGGTTCAGGGCATAACCGTGGTGGTGGGAGGCTGAAGTGAGATGAGGTTATTGGAAGTGAGAAAGGGGACTAGAGTCTGTAGCGGAGTTACTGAGGAAGACCGAAATCAGGTATTAAAGTCCTCAGGGAACGAGGTCCGATTAACCTATGCCAGCAGTGAAGAGGGAAGAGGGAAGGTTCCTAGTGAACTATCTGGGAGGGCCTGGAGTATTTGGAGGAGGAAGGAGAAGATCTGGTTTGGAAGCTGCAGTGAGGAGCAAGGAGCACAGACTTCCTGCTTCGGAGGCACAGGGGGTACAAGGAAGAAACCCTTGAAAAGGCTGCAGGAGAAACAGTTCCTGTGAAGGTTATCAGGCGAAGAAAGAGAACCTTCAGGGAAGAGGTGCAGTTTCGGGTGAGGGTAAGCAGCGTCATTCCAGAGGACATACTGGAAGGACTTGGGAGGGATAGAAAGTAGAGGAGTGGATCCGACTGGCAGATGTGCACATCAGTGATAATGAACAACCCAGGAGTCTTGGGTCTTTGCCTGTGACTGGGGAGAAAAAGGATGGGAAATGTGGTGGGATTGGTTTCCTGACACATTGTCATGAAAGGTGACAGCTTACCTGACTTTGTTGATAGGACCTTGGGTAGCCGGTAAGAGACCATCAGGTATGCGTGACCTCTCCTACTTGCATAGTTGGCCAGGGAAGGCTAATTTACTTCAAGGAGCTAAGATCTGAAATATTGCTGTGGAGCTGTACTTCGCTAATGAATGTTTTTGTAACATCTGTTTAATAGCATGCAATTCTAGGTCTTAAATCCTAATAGATGTGCTCATGTTATATCTCCTTGAAATATACACAGTAGGCATCCCAACATAAATTCCATCAAATATATGTTGAGCACCTACCGTGTGTCAGGTTCTCTTTTAGGAATTGCAAACATGAGATTTTACCTCTGTTTTTTTAGTTGCTTACTTTCCAGCGCAAGCATTTTTAACATCCAACGCCTGAAAAGTATGTGGATTTCTATGTGTTTGTTTTTTGACGACTGAGGGGAGAAGGAACAGTCCACAGCTTTTTATCAGATTCTCAAGGGGGTCTATTTATTTAAGGACCCCTGGTCTAATAGGAGAGAGAGACATGAAAGCTAATCATTGTAATGCAATGAAATCATTGCCATCACAGAGAAAAATAAAGGAAGCACAGATTCACCTTGAAGAATGAGTTCATTAATTATCTATTTATATATTGAGGAACTTGGTAGTCTCTATTCTAGGTAATTTACACATTATTTGAAATCTTCCAGCATCCTTTTTATGTGTATTATATTAAAGATTTATTTATTTATTTTTAAAGATTTTATTTATTTGAGAGAGAGAGAGAGAGAGCAACAGAAATAGAGAAAGCACGAGCAGGGAGGAGAGGGAGAAGCAGGCTCTCCAATGAGCAGGGAGCCCCACATAGGGCTAGATCCAGGACCCTGGAATCATGACCTGAGCCGAAGGCAGACGCTTAACTGACTAAGCCACCCAGGTGCCCCATGAGATTGATTTATTTTAGAGAGGGAGAGTGAGTGTGCACTGGGGGATGGTGAGGGTGGAGTGGAGAGGAGCAGAGGGAAAGTTTTAAGTAGACTTTGCACTGAGCACGGAGCCAGATGCGGAACTCTTATCTCATGACCCTGAGATCCCTACTTGAGTCGAAACCAAGAGTCGGACGCTTAACCAACTATGCCAAGGCGCTCCGTTTTATGTGTGTTATTAATACTCATGTTTATAGGCTGGAATACATAAGTGAGGAAAGGTTAATTAATTGCTTAGAACCACCTAGTAGTAGTTTCAGATCTGAAACTGATTCTAAAGTCTACTGCTTTTCTTTTCTTTTTTTTTTTTTTTAAAGATTTTATTTATTTATTTGACAGAGACACAGCGAGAGGGGGACACAAGCAGGGGGAATGGGAGAGGGAGAAGCAGGCTTCCCGCAGAGCAGGGAGCCTGATGCCAGATGCAGGGCTGGATCCTGAGCCGAAGGCAGACGGCAGACTGAGCCACCCAGGCGCCCCATGTCTACTGCTTTTCATTAAGCCACACTGGGAGCCACTGAAGGACTCATTATAAACAAGAGTACATAAGATCATGTTTGTACTTTGAAATTTAGCAATGATGGAAATAGGTCTTTAAAGTGTTTGCTTTCTGGGGCGCCTGGCGCCTGGGTGGCTCAGTCAGTTGAGTGTCTGCCTTTTAATTCAGGTCATGATCCCGGGGCCCTGGGATGGAGCCCTGCATCGGGCTCCTTGCTCAGCATGGAGTCTGCTTCTCCCTCTGCCCCTCCCCCTGCTCATGCTCTCTCTCTTGCTCTCTCTGAGATATGTTTATGGAATTTCTGCCCACTTGGAAACCTGATGCAATGTTAATTTGTACGTTGTTTGTTAGACTATGATGTATTTTTAATTATGTTTTTATTTCTTTTGAGAAGACTTTTTGGATTGTTTTTGGACCAAAAATGACATCTATTATCAAATTAACTACCCTCTCTGGGGTTCAAGAAGAGTCTGCTCTTTGCTATCTTCTGCAAGTTGATGAGTTTAGATTTCTGTTGGACTGTGGCTGGGATGAGCACTTTTCTATGGATATTATAGATTCCCTGAGGAAGTAAGTTACTTTTCATATTTCTAGACTTTTATTAAATGAACTTCTCTTTTCTACACTGTAATACCATCTTGATGATATACGGTATTTGCTTGCTTTCCTCTATTTTGATTTATAGTAAAAGGCTTAGTTTTACTTACTCCAAAGAGCCAAATAGTGACTGTTTCCATTTGTAAAGTTTTGATTGCATTATAAACTGTTGATTGAAATTCAGTAAAATGTTAAGTGTTACTTGGCTAATGGATCCCAGTAGAGATTTTTTGCACCATAATTTTAGAGAAGAATAATTGTGTAAGAATTTGAAGAGAGGAAAAACCTTCCATGTGAAAAGTCTGCCATCAGATCACATTAGCTTACTTTTTATGTCTTTTGATCCTTCATATTGAGCTTTGGTGCCCAGAATAATGACCATGAGATACAAAAGGATACTAATCTATCAAAGAAAAATTCACTTAATACTTGTAGTATTGTACTAATTATGGAAGGAAAGAGAACTTAAATATTTAAAAACTGAGAACTTTTAGCAAAACATTTTTTTTCTAATTTCTTCTGTCAGTGAGACCATATGCTTTATTAATTGAAGTTTCACTGTAGTGAATATGCTATCAGTCACCATGCTAAAAAGCAGAGGCAAAAATCCATAATAAATATATGGCCATTTAAATATCCTCTCCCTAACAATTTCTGAAATTTCAAGTTGAGTTCTTGAACTTTAATAGTATATGAAACAGCCATTCACAATCAGCTTATGTGTGGTATCTACTGATGCTCTTTTTTCTTTTTTTATGTGCATAGAGATCCTCTGTTTTGTGCAACACATACCATACTTTTGATATCTATGCAGGACGGGGTAGTAATAACTGGTATTGCTAGGTATCATAATTTCAGCTCTTCTGCTCTTTTACCCCAGCCTAGTCTTTACTCTTAAAAACAAGATTGGAGAAATTGAGAAGCCATTTTGATCATGTTCTCCTAGGCATGTTCACCAAATTGATGCAGTACTGTTGTCCCACCCCGACCCTCTTCATCTTGGTGCTCTCCCGTATGCCGTCGGGAAGCTGGGTCTGAACTGTGCTATCTACGCAACCATTCCTGTTTATAAAATGGGACAGATGTTCATGTATGATCTTTACCAGGTAACTCAAGCAATTAAAAACTGCTTTTTACACTCCTGTAGTGATCATGTTTAACCTCTGATTTATGTGCTGCTTTTAGTCTCGACACAATACAGAAGACTTTACACTCTTCACGTTAGATGATGTGGATGCAGCCTTTGATAAAATACAGCAGTTAAAATTCTCTCAGATTGTGAATTTGAAAGGTAAAAAATGATTCCAATAGTAAGTAATTGGACTAAGGGGTTTAACTGATTTTGAAAAGTACAAGGGGAATTTGTAGTAAAAATCATAGGCCCTGTGGTCTGAAAAAGAAAAGATTAGCATGTTCTCATATGGAACGCTGAACTTCTCCCAAGTCATTTGGATTTTAAAACATTCCAGATTAAATACTAACACAATGTTAATAGCTCAAGCCTTTTCACATTTAACTTGGGAATGACTTATTTAGTGTTTACTGTGTATGATGCACAAAGGTAACGTGCCAGATCCTCCTCCTAAGAGTTCACGGTTGAGGGGCTCAGATGACTAAATGTAGTGATTGAAGTCTTGAAGGAAATGCAGTGCCTTGGCAGCATAGTAGAAGATAACTGAATTCTAGAATTGGGTATTAAGAAGTTTATTACTTAATTAGGTCAGGAAGCCCTCTGTTAAGTATAGATTTCTCATCTGTGGAGGGAGATTAAATATGAAGCCTTGCGTTAAAATTGAGAAAATGGTGCCATGGTGGACTCTGACGAGTTGACCAAGAAATAACAATGTCACAACAGTTGGGCTTGTACTTAATTTTTCTATAGGATAAATTTTTTACCATGAGATTTGTATTGTTACTCTGTCAATTTCAGGTTAGCAAAAATGGAAACATTTGATTGTGTGTGTACCGAATAAATATTCAAATTTATTCATTCATATTAAGTAATTTAATAGGGTACTGGCATTTAAATCCAATCTCTATAATATTTCAGTTTATGAACACAGATACGTCTGCAAGAATTCATAACAAAACGACAAGAGAGTTTGTCTACAGTGAGGGAATGGAGTGGCTGGGGGGGCAGAAGAGTGAGACTTGCATTTTCAGTGTTTGCCTTTTTACTTTGGGATTTTGTATCACTGCATATATTAGCTATTAAAAATAGTTTACAAATAAATAAGCTTTCTTTAGGCTTGTAAAAGAAATCTGAGTATTGTCTCTCTCTTATTAACATAGGTAAAGGACATGGCTTGTCTATCACACCTCTGCCAGCTGGTCATATGATAGGTGGAACAATATGGAAAATAGTCAAAGATGGAGAAGAAGAAATTGTGTATGCAGTTGACTTTAACCACAAGAGGGAGATGTAGGTATATCCAGACAAAAGCTAATGGAAATGCAGTTGGTATTGTTTCATTCTTTGGAGGGAAAATTAAACTAAAAAGTTGTTGTTGTTTTTTTTTAACTAGAAATCTAGAACTACTTAAAGGCCTCAAATAGTGAATTTTTTGCATTGTGAGGGGAAACTTTGATATAAGAGATAATGTATTTTACAAACTGACATGTAAGTATCCAGTCTAAAACAGATAACTCTCTGGAGATGTTGCAAAGGAGATTAATTTTTGTACGTAAAATTATATTTTATATGCTATTTGACCTGTTATTTGAAGGACCTTTGTGGGTTTTTTTTTTTTTGTAAAGTTAGTAATTATGATATAACTATATTTAAAGTCAAACTCCTTTTAAAAGGGACACAGTAGTTGTAATTTTAAATACTTTATTTTCTACTCACAGCATTACTATAAAATTGTTTTGGCGTTTAGTTTCATAGAGGCTTCTTTTGTAATTTCTGTACATTAAGTTCATAGTTATTTTGTATGAGATTACAGTAGCCTCAAGATCTTTTGTATCTTCTATTTAGAAGTATATAAGACTAATAAGTTTTAGGCTCTTTTAATCACAGATTAATGAGGAAAGTATGGATATTCGAGTAAATGGTATTCAAACATTTTGGGAAAAAGTCAGTTTGTGGTTTTTCTTGTTTGTTTTTTACCACATAACAAATTTCAGATGGATTAGAATTAAATAGAAAATGAAACCGTATGGGTGAGTCTAATCTCTGATAAGAGTTTGTGAGTGTAAAGGCAGCGGATCAAGTTACAAAGGAAAACTCTTGATAGATTTGATTACATACAGATTCAGAACATCTGAAACAGTAAACTAAAGACCAATAAAATAGGGAAAATATTTGCAGCTTGTTGGCTAAAGGCTTACGTGTATAAGACCAGGTATTAACCAATCAAAAAGATGCCAGTTACAACATGGACAAAAGTTATAAAGTAAAAAACTTTTAAATGGTAGTTCTTTTTAAAATTAAATATCCTTAAAATGATGTTTAAATGGTAGTATTCTTCTAGGAAATAGTGAGTTGCTCATTCTTTCTGGAAAAGGTAGAGCTTTCTGAAAAAGGTTAAATTTTTCTGGAAAGCCATTTAGCAACACTGTGTATTGTAGTAAATAATTTCTAGGAATGTGGCCTAAAGAAACAATCAGAAATGCAATCAAAGTTTTTTGCAAAAATGTTCTTTGAGATTATTTATAATGATGAGAAAAGTAACCTAAACAAAGGGAAGTGATCAGATAAAATACACAGTAAGAGGTTTTTACAATTGTTAAAAAATAGATTTAGAAACCAGTTTTAGTGTCATGGGAGAAAACCAGGGTATAGAACTGAGTATAGAGGCATATACATGAGATACCGGTTTTGTAAAATATATTCACATATATATGCTTAGAAAAGTGTATTTGGGGGCGCCTGAGTGGCTCAGTTGGTTAAGCGACTGCCTTCAGCTCAGGTCATGATCCTGGAGTCCCTGGATCCAGTCCCGCATCGGGCTCCCTTCTCGGCAGGGAGCCTGCTTCTGTCTCTGACCCTCCCCCCTCTCATGTGCTCTCTCTCTCTCATTCTCTCTGTCTCAAATAAATAAATAAAAATCTTTAAAAAAAATAAAAATTAAATAAAAATTAAAAAAAAAAAAAAAAGGTGTATTTGGGGGCGCCTGGGTGGCTCAGTTGGTTAAGCATCTACCTTTGGCTCAGGTCACGATCCCAAGATTCTGGGATCAAGCCCAGCATCGGGCTCCCTGCTCTGCGGGAAGCCTGTTTCTCCCTCTCCCACCCCCTCTGCTTGTGTTCCCTCTCTCGCTGTCTCTCTCTCTGTTAATAAATAAATAAAATCTTAAAAAAAAAAAAAAAAAGAAAAGTGTATTTATGTGCTTAGAAAGATGTATACCAAAATATTATATCGATTTCTCTGAGTGATGGAACTCTGGAAAATCTTAATTTTCCTATTTTTTTTTTTAATGTACTAGATTTCTTATTAATGAGCACCTGTCCTTTTATAGTTAGGGAAGGAAAAATCTTATAAAAGAAAGTTGCTTATTTTTTAGGTGAGATAAGCAGCTGTTTATTTGAAGTGATGTAATACTCCTCTTCTTCAACTTTGTTATAGCCATTTAAATGGATGTTCCCTGGAAATGCTAAGCAGACCCTCCCTGCTTATCACAGATTCCTTTAATGCTACGTATGTGCAACCTCGGAGAAAACAGAGAGACGAGCAGCTTCTGAGTACGTATTACATAGTAATGTCCTCTGTGGAGGTGCATGGTAGTATTAATTACTGTTTCTTCTATTTTGTTTAACACTTTTCTTGTCATGAGAGATTGGTTAACTCTAATTTTTTTTTTTTTTAAGAGAGGGAGATGTGGGGGAGGGGCAGAGGGAGAGAGAGAGAATCTTAAGCAGCCTCACCCCCAGTGTGGAGCCCATGTGGGGCTCAATCTCCCGACCCTGAGATCATGACTTGAGCCAAAATCAAGAGTTGGATGCTTAATTGACTGAGCCACCCAGGTGCCTCTAACTCTAATATTTTTGAAAAAATATTATGTGACCATATCATTATTTTGTACAAAAAGATGCTTTAGTTCATCTGAATTCAGCTTTTATGGGATAGGTGTAGAGATTGACTTCTCCCTGTCATTCAGCACATAGCTAGCTCTATGTGGCATTCACTGATATAGGTCTAGGGAATGCCAGAATATATAAAGAGCTCATAGAAATCTATTAAAAAAGGGCGCCTGGGTGGCTCAGTTAGTTAAGGGTCTGCCTTTGGCATAGGTCATGATCCTGGGGTCCTGGGATTGAGTTCCGCATCAGGCTCCCTGCTTAGCAGGGAGTCTGTTACTTCCTCTCCCCCTGCTGCTCCCCTTGCTTGTGAGCTCATTCTCTCTCTTTCTCTCGCTCTCTTAAATAAATAAAATCTTAAAAAAAAAATCTATTAGAAAAACACATACTCTAAAAGAAAAATGAGCAAAGAAAAAAAAAGAAAAAAAACGAGCAAAGGAGATACATGAGGATGCAAATAGTCCACTGATTTTTGGTGTTGGGAGTCTTACACTCTAATCTAGTAGTCTCAGTTCTAAAGAGGAGCCTCTGGGCCATCCCTGGTTGCTTCTCCTTTGGCTCCAGCTGCTTTACCTTCTTTTTTTATAAGCTACATGGGATTTCAATGGGAAAATTAGATTCTACTTTTAAATATGTTTGAAACCACTGCTTTCATATACCTACTTAAAAAGCAGAGCTTGTGGGATGCCTGGGTGTCTCAGTCGATTGAGCATCTGCCTTCGGCTCAGGTCATGATCCCAGCGTTCTGGGATCGAGTCCTGCATTGGGTTCCTTGCTCAGCAGGGAGCCTGCTTCTCCCTCTGCCTGCCACTCCCCCTGCTTGGGCGCGCGCTCTCGCTCTCTCTGACAAATAAATAAAATCTTTAAAAAAAAAAAAAAAAAGGCAGAGTTTGTGTATTGTGTTGTATTCACTTTAAGAAGGTGTTTAGTTCTTGTGTTTTTTTGTTTGTTTTTGCTAGAGTTTGGTTTTACCAAGTGTTTCCAAGCCAACTTTAATGTAGAGCGAGGAAATCTACTCCTAAAGATACTTTTGTTGGAAGAGGGAATTTGATCTATATTTTATTGTGTAGGCATACATACACACAAAATGTGTACATACAAAATAAAGTATGAATGTGTGTACTTGTGTGTATAAATTTGGGAATCATTTGTAACAAAGTTGTAAATAATTGGCCCCAGTGTACTGTATGAATGTCATTTTTTATGTGGACTGTGGGTGAAGAGGGCTGGGGACCACTGATTTACACTTTTTCAGTGAAAAAAAATTGAGAATTAATGGCATTGTCTTTCATTCCTATGAAGATACATTCACAGAATAAAAAGTAGTTGTAATAACCTGAGTGGAATTTTTAAAATTGTGTACCTGGCCTAATAATTGCTTATTTATAAATTTCAGACTTTATACTGGAGATTAAGTCATCTTTAATTTTGCAGCAAGGTATTGTTATGTTCTCTATGGATTTTACATTCTTGTTTTCTAGCAAATGTCCTGGAAACACTTCGAGGTGATGGAAATGTATTAATAGCAGTGGACACTGCAGGCAGAGTTTTGGAACTTGCTCAACTCCTTGATCAAATCTGGAGAACTAAAGATGCAGGATTGGGTGTCTACTCACTGGCACTCCTGAATAATGTCAGCTATAATGTGGTGGAGTTTTCCAAGTCCCAGGTTTGTTTTCATGATGTCATTTGTAATACAGAAGTTTGCTACAGAAATTGGACTTCCGGAAAACAGTGTTTTAGTTGCCCTTTGGATTTTATTCTTCTGTTGAAGAAGTTGATGGTGATGATGATAATGGTAATGAGCCACTTGTTCTGTGTGTTAACATGGAATATTTCGTTTAGTCCTTCTAGATCCTATGAAGTAGGTTCTGTTTTTGTCCCCATCTTACAGATTGGGCAAGTTGCTTCCCTAACACTTGGTATCACAATCTGTAAAATGGGGACAAAAGTAGAACCTACCTCATAGGATATACATGTTAGAATCCATTTTTCTCTTCTTTCTGAATAAGCTCTTTCCCTTGAAATAGCAATCTTGGGTAAGATATTTATTTAAAACTTATACTCTGCTTTCTCAGTAAGATTTAAGGTGACTTGTAACTGAAATATATGCAAAATTGGATTTTTAGGGATGAACTATGGGGGTGGGAGGATATAATGGGGAACAGAACAGAGAGTAAGCTGCTCATCAGAATGGTACATGTTTAAAGAACCATTGGTGGTAAAGACTTAAAAGAAGACAGACCAGGAACTTCTAGACTTTGTGGAAGACATTGCAGTTATAATCTAGTATTTTCTAATTATGGTCTCCTTTCCCCCTATATTAGGTAGAATGGATGAGTGACAAATTGATGAGATGTTTTGAAGACAAAAGAAATAATCCATTTCAGTTTCGCCATCTCTCTTTATGTCACGGTCTTTCCGACTTGGCTCGGGTACCTAGCCCCAAAGTGGTACTCGCCAGCCAGCCTGACCTGGAATGTGGATTTTCAAGGGATCTCTTCATTCAGTGGTGTCAGGACCCTAAAAACTCAATCATTCTAACTTACAGAACTACTCCTGGGACTTTAGCACGTTTCCTAATTGATAATCCTTCTGAAAAAATTACAGAAATAGAGGTAAGTGCTTATATGTGAACTTTATCTTAAAACTGTTTGGGGGAGGGGCGCCTGGGTGGCTCAGTCGTTAAGTATCTGCCTTCAGCTCAGGTCATGATCCTAGGGTCCTGGAATTGAGCCCCGCAGCAGGCTCCCTGCTCTGCGGGAAACCTGCTTCTCCCTCTCCCACTCCCCCTGCTTGTGTTCCCTCTCCCGCTGTCTCTGTCAAATAAATAAATAAATAAAATCTTTAAAAAAAAAAAAAAAAAACAACAACAAAACTGGGGGACACATGCATGATGTTTATAGAAATCAGGGACCAAAAATGAAATTGTCTCCAGATTTTTACCAGAGTAACAATAGAGAGCCTTTAATAGCACAAACTTCAGAGCTCCTTATTGGAAATGCCCATTCTTTAACCCTTCCATGTTATCCTCTGGAACCATGCCCAGAAGGTGTCACTCACCCTGTATTCTCAAGTGCTCTTTGAAAAGTTCTTTTCATATCCTTTCCCTAATTGAAATCTGTTTTGTAACAATAGTCTTTCCTGTAGGCCTCTCAAGTAGACACTCTTTTTTTCTCTTTCATGCTTCATATACTTTGGGTGGGGTAGATGTCCTTTTTTTGTCCTGCAGGTTTCAAGCCATTTCTCTTCCCTCTCTATGTCATGCCATCAGACTTGACAATACAGTGACCCCTTCTGACATTTACTGATCCCTTGGTCATTCTCTGTCTTTCATTGGTGACTTTAACCCTGGTCCACAGTCTTCCTGTCCACTCACTCAGGACTGCATTCTTGATGACGCTAGTGTCCATATGTGTGATCTGTCCAAGGCCTTGGCCCTCTTAGTTCCTTGACACCTTGTTTCTTAATGATCTTTTCCTCCATTCCACCTTAGCCATCCCTTTCCACAATCATACTGTCTACTCTTATGGTCATACCCTTCACCTTGTTACGGGTTACCCCTGAAGATCTCCATCTCAATTATCCCACTCTGATCTTACAGCTGACTTGCTCTAATACTCTCATGCCAGCAATTCTTTGGTTCCATTGGGACTTTTAATTTGTGTACTATCCATCATTGCTCCAGCTTCTAGTCAGTGGTCCATCATTATTTTACAAATACCTTTAACTCTGTTACTCTCCTGTGCATTATACTCACCTGGCAAAACTTTGAACCATTTGCTTAACTGTTCCTATACCCAAGCAACCTTATGTTACTGGTGTTAAACACGTGTGGACAGGTTGCCTTTCACATTCATGACCTCAAATCTCAGACGGGCACCCAGCACCAGCCCAACATTCTCTAAGATACTCTTTTTCCTACTCTCCAGTTAGGTAGCTTCATACCTTCCTTCTCTTCAAATATCCTACAACTCATTTCAGCCCTCACCCATAGCACATGAACTTGTTTCAAACTTAGCTAAGAAGTAGAAGCAGTCAGACAAGAATCCCCTTATCTTCTCCACACTAAATAGCCAAACTTGTTTCTGTATCCGCATTTGCTGCTCTATCTCTTGTTAACGGGAGCAAAACAAGTAGCCAAGTGACCAGTATGCCAAAAGATCATTTTGCTTAATAACCAACCCATCTCATCTATCAGTTTTCCAAAGCTAGTATCATTAACTGTAAAGTCTGTAGCAATTGATACTGAATGGGCAATTGCCAAAGTTGGGCACAGTTGTGGATGACTTTTTTATTTTTCCTTCCTGGTAGCCATGTTAAGGAATGTTGTTTGTTAGAAGCTGAGTGATAAGTGTACCTTAGTCTTTAACTCTACTTAAGAAAAGCACAAACGTAGTAACTAAAATCTCATATACATTCACTATACATACAGAATTGTTGAGGAAGGATTCAGAGCAAACATACCAAAGTAAAAACTGTCCTTTGGGTTATTTAATAGCTTAGAAACAAGGAGTTTTCTTTAAAAATTAAAAGAGCTCAGGGGTACCTGGGTGGCTCAGTTAGTTAAGCGGCCAGCTTTTGATTTTGACTCAGGTCATAACCTCAGGGTTGTGAGGTTGTGAGATGGAGTCCGGAGTTAGGTTCCTGTGCTCAGCAGGGAGTCTGCTTGAGATTCTCCCTCTCCCTCTGGCTTCCCCCGCCCCCGCCACATGCACACACACACTCTCTCTCTCTGAAATAAATCTTTAAGCAAAAAATTAAAAGAGCTCTTTGAAATACTTGGAATAGTTTCATCAGATATGAAATACTGAATTTGAAAATAATAATTACTAGAAATTCAATTAAGGTTGATAGGCATAGGCCGTTTGAGGAATTAATAAAAAAATATTAAAAGCGGTTTCAGTTTGAAAAAAAATAGAAAAGGACATTTGGAGCTGTAACTTGAAACATTAGGTTTTTGACTTTTTAATAAGTAGTACTAACACTTAGGATTCTTTCCCTTCTCCCCTTGTAGGGGTGTTTCTTCTGTCATTATGCCTTCTCTCCATGGCCTATCAGTTTTTCCCTCTACTTGGTCATATGCAAAACATTGTACTCTTTCTCCTCCCCCTAGTCCCAGACTTACTCTTCTCTGAGTCTTCCTTATCTCAGACAATAGCAGCACTTTCCACAGATTTTTTTCAGCGTCCATTGCCATGTAACATGTGCTGGAAGTGTGCATGTGCAAGTGCACGGTGTGATGCACGTTTACAAACCGAACACATCTGTCTAGCCTGTACCCAGACCAAGACGTATTGGCAGTACCTCATACATCCCCTTCTGGATCCTTCCCCTCCGAGGGAAGCCGCTATCCTGACTTCTCATGCACAGATGGCTATATTATAAATGTTCAAGTGTTTTCAAATAAATGAATTCATTTTAGTAACCTTATAATAACGCACGTGTATATGTGTACTGTGATTATTGAATCCAGTGGTTGCCTCAGGGGTCCCTGAGACCCTTTCAGGGAGTGCCCAAGGTCAAAACTACTTCTGATAGTAATGTTAAGATATTACTTGCCTTTTCGCTTGTGCCTGGATTTAACGTTGCAGAGTCAAAGCAGTGCGAGAGGTGCTGGTCCCTTAGCCTCAATCCAGCGTGGCCCCAGCCAGCAGCAGCCGCTGCACTGTACATGAGCCCATACTCGAAGTTCCAGAAAAGGGCCCGTTTCTCTTAAGGATGTTCTTGACGAAGCAGTAAAAGTTATTTATTAAATCCTTTCATAAAAGGTTTTTAAAAATAATCTGGATGGCAAGATGGGAAGTAGGCGTACAGCACTTGGGTTGCATACTAATACACAATGTTTGTCTCGAAGAAAGCCACTTGTATCATTGAGTTAACTGGCCACTTTTTCCTCGGAACACCATTTTTACTTGAAATAATGACATGGTTGCTCAGACTTGGGTATTCGGCAGATATTCTCTCAAAGATGAGTAAGTTGAGCTTGTCACTCTAAGGAAAACAGTTGATCGCATCTGTTGCCTAAATCTGATAAAATTCAAACTTTGAGGTGAAAATTAGAATTTTGGGAAGCGATGCCCATCACCATGAAATAGACAACTTAAACTTAGAAGGCTTTGCTGATGAGATTGGTGGTGATATTTGCAAATGTGATTTTTAAAATACTGTCAACATTTGTAAGATCTGTGTAACTTGGTGAACCAGTACTTTGCAAATAACCGATGCCTGTAGGTACAAGATAGTGCTCAAAAGAGCCATTCAAAGTGCAAGATAAATCAATATATTTTAACATAACAGTATAAAAAGTTGTTGGTTTCAGATTCCACATTACAACGAATCTTTTAAGAAACCACGTTTTTTTTTTTAAATTTTTTATTTATTTTTTAAAAAGATTTTATTTATTTATTTGTGAGAGAGAGAATGAGAGAGAGCACATGAGAGGGGGGAGGGTCAGAGGGAGAAGCAGACTCCCCACCAAGCAGGGAGCCCGATGCGGGACTCGATCCAGGGACTCCGGGATCATGACCTGAGCCGAAGGCAGTCGCTTAACCAACTGAGCTACCCAGGCGCCCATGAAAGAAACCACCAGTTTTTGAGTTTTAATGTAATACCAAGGAATATTCATGGAAATGCTACTTAAATATTTTTCCCTTTTCCAATTATACATCTGTGTGAGGCTGCATTTTCTTCATATGCTTTAACCAAAACAACATATTGCAGGAGATTGAATTCAGCAGATGTGAGGATCCAGCTGTCTTCTATTGAGCTAGACATTAAAGAGACTTGCAAAAATGTAAAATAATGCCGTGCTTTCCACTATTCTTTGTTTTTGCTTTAGAAAATTTAATTACCTTTTATAAAAATATAATGTTAATATGCAATGATTTTATTTTTTAGTTTACAGATGAATATTTTAAAACTTCCTCATTCTTGATTTCTGATATGGCAGACATTAATAAATGTAATCTACAAAAAAACCAAAAACTATTTGGGGTTCTCAGTAATTTTTAAGAGTCTAAGACAATCCTGAGATCAAAAAGTTGGAGAGATCTACTGATTTAATCATCCCATGTTGATGGATTTTAAAGTTGAGTCTGGTTTTTTACTGTTACACACATTGCTGCAATTGTACTTTTTTCCTAACACTTGTGATTGTTTCCGTAGCATAAATTCCTAGAAGTAGAAATGCTATGTCAAATGACGGGCACATTTTTATGGCAAATTGCCTTCTACCATAGTTACGCTAATTTTCCCATAGATATATAGTAATTAGCATTGCCAATCTAATAGATTTTAAAATGGTATTACAGGGGCACCTGGGTGGCTCAGTTGGTTACACATCTGCTTTCAGCTCAGGTCATGATCCCAGGGTTCTGGGATTGAGCCCCACGTTGAGTTCCCTGCTCAGTGGGGAGTCTGCTTCTCCCTTTCTCATAGCCACCCCCCCAAATAAGTAAATAATAATAAATAAAATCTTATATGGTATTACATTTCAAAAATTTTGCATTTTTCAAAAACCAGCGAAATGGGACCTCTTTTCATAGCTATTAGTTACTTATTTGTCTTATTTTGTAACTTGCTTATATATGGATTTGTCCTTTTTTGATGTGTTGATCATCTTTTTCTTAACTGATTTGGAAGAGCTCTTAGGAAAAAAGAGCTGCTGATAGTCATGTAGTGCTGTAAATAATTTTCTCCGTTCCCTGTAATTTTATGAGATTTTTAAATGTCAAAGAAATGTATTTTTTTTCATGTTGCCGTATTTATTCATCTTTTCCTTTGTGGTTTTTGGGTTTTATGTCCTGTGTAGGCCTCACCTACTCCAAATTATAAAAATACTTACCTGTATTTTCTTTTCCTGATTGGTGATTTTTAACCAGTTTAAATTAAACCCAGCCTAGAAATGTGGCAGCTCAATTTTGGTGCTGATCTAAATAGGATCTGTAATTGCATGTAATGGGAACTTGAATAATTTCAAATTTAAGATGATAAATGCACAGATGTGCTACATCTCACACCCTACCGCCTAACCCCTGATACTGATGCTTCCTTCTGTCTGCTGTTTTTCTCTAGTTGAGGAAACGTGTGAAGCTTGAAGGGAAAGAACTAGAAGAATACTTGGAAAAAGAGAAACTAAAGAAAGAAGCGGCAAAAAAACTTGAGCAGTCAAAAGAGTGAGTTATTTTCAGACAGAAGCTTATATGTAAATTACATATAATTTAAGAACTTACTCCTAAGATACAAAAGTTTATTTGAAAATATTTAAATTTTCTTTGAGAAACAAAACAGATGAACATAGGGGAAGGGAAGGAAAAATAAAATAAGGACAGAGAGAGAGACAAACCATAAGAGACTCTTGACTATAGGGAACAAACTGAAGGTTGCTGAAGGGGAGGTGGTTGCTGAGATGGTATATAACTGGGTGATGGGCATTAAGGAGGGCAGGTGATGGAATGAGCACTGGGTGTTATATATGACTGATGAATCACTAAACTATACCCTGAACCTAATAATACACTATATGTTAACTAACTTGAATTTAAATTAAAAAAAAAATATTTAAATTTTCTGTTGACTTCATTATTTTTGTGAACATTTTTAAATGGTGCTAGAATGCCAAGTTCTTTCAGTGCTAATTTTTTTTGTTTTTAAAAAATCAGTTTTATTTTTTATTTATTTATTTTTTAAAGATTTTATTTATTTATTTGACAGACACAGCGAGAGAGGGAACACAAGCAGGGGGAGTGGGAGAGGGAGAAGCAGGCCTCCCGCGGAGCAGGGAGCCCGATGTGGGGCTTGATCCCAGGACCCTGGGATCATGACCTGAGCCGAAGGCAGATGCTTAACAACTGAGCCACCCAGGCGCCCCTCAATTTTATTTTTTAAAGAGATTTTTAAAAATGACTTATATTGTACACATTTCTAATTTCCTGTTCTTATTCCTCCCTTGTGTGGACATATTGCCACATGGTATCATCCTCCCTTCTCTCTGAAGAAATTCCTTTGATTTTTGTTTCATGGGCTGCATATCAGCAGGCAATACCTCCATCAGATTTTTGGTGTTTTTTCTTTTGTTTGTTTTTTAGTCTGGCAAAGTTCTTCTTATATTTATATTTGAATGATATTTTTCCTGGGAATATGGTTAGCAGTTTACAGACTTCACTGCTTTGTTTCTGGCAGGCAGTCTCAGACAATGCTGTCATTGTTTTCTTTCTTTTTTTTTTTTTTTACTTATTTATTGCTGTCATTGTTTTCTTTGTTCCTTTGTAGTGTGTGTGTGTGTGTGTGTATGTATGTATGTGTTTTCCTCCATTGATTATGATGTACCTTAGTGTGTTGTGTTATTTAAAACATTTTTTTGAGTATGGTTGGCACTTTCAGTGCTAGTATTAATGTGTATTTATTAACTGGCAGTTAATGCTATTTTACAAACTTATCAGTCCAATAAAATTATTACCCTTGAATTAATTCAAAAATAATTTTGTAAATATTAATTCAAAATCTTGTGGGGACTTTATGACCTTTATCTGTTCCACAATCCTTTTAGGGCAGACATAGATTCCAGTGATGAGAGTGATGTTGAGGAAGACATTGACCAGCCGTCAGCTCATAAGACTAAGCATGACCTGATGATGAAAGGTGAAGGTAGTCGTAAAGGAAGCTTCTTCAAACAGGCTAAAAAGTCTTACCCTATGTTTCCTGCCCCAGAAGAAAGAATTAAATGGGATGAATATGGAGAAATTATCAAGTATGTGAACAAAACAAGCTTTTCTTTTCTTCCAGATTAGACTGTGTATTTTGTATATAACTCAGTGTATCATTAGAACTCAATAAATTTGGCATTCATTTCTGATAATACCGTGTACTTTGATAGTTTCTGAGGACCCCACTTTGAAAGATACAGAGGACTTGTATAGTTTAAAAGTACAGTATAAAATAGAAAGATTGAACATCTAAAGAATTAATATTAAAGGGGCACCTGGGTGGCTCAGTCGTTAGGGGTCTGCCTTCGGCTCAGGTCATGATCCCAGGGTCCTGGGATTGAGTCCTGCATCCGGCTCCCTGCTCTGCGGGAAGCCTGCTTCTTCCCCCCCCCCCCAACCCTCCCCCGCTTGTGTTCCCTCTCTCGCTGTGTCTCTCTGTCAAATAAATAAATAAAAATCTTTAAAAAAAAAAAAAGAATTAATATTAAAGGCAAAGTAGCAGTTTTATTACCTAGGTATGTGAAAAGTCTAAAAAGGTGAGCAAGACTTTTTTCCCCCCACTTAAAGAGAGGTAAGGGGGCACCTGGGTGGCTCAGTTGGTCTAGCCTCTGACTCTTGATTTTGGCTCGGGTCATGATCTCAGGGTCCTGGGATTGAGCCCTGCACGGGGCTCCCTGTTAGCAGGGAGTCTGCTAGAGTCTTTCTCCCTCCCTCTTCCCCCCCTGCTTGCTCGCACTCTCTCAAATAAATAAATCTAAAATAGAGAAAGAGGGTAAGGGACATGCACTGGAGAAAGACAGAGGATATGGAGAATTTTTGATGGATGGTGATGTGTGAAGTTTAGGAAATGGGTTACATCTCAAGCAGTGTTACACAGATGTTTAAGTTACAAGAGGAATATGAGATAGCATGGGTGGAACCATGGAAAATCAACAGCTTTCCACCACTATTGGAAAAACAACTGAAATCACACGTTCTAATCTAAGTTTGGAAACCCTGCTACCCTGTGTGAAGATTCTTCAGGGTCCCCGTTGCTTTCCAGGTGACTGTCAGGCGCCTTAGCACAGTGCATGGTGTCTCTCACAACCTGGTTTCTTCCTACTTTGCTGTTAGGTCTCTGTACATTTCTGTCAGGCCGGTGTGCGTGCTCTGCTCTAGCGGTACCAGCCTTCTCAGTGTCTTGCTCGGCTTTTCCACGTCACACCCTTGCACATGTTCATCCCTCGGCTTTGTTCCGTCTTCCCCTCCCAGGTCTCCAGCCTGCTGGATTGGCCCTTACAAACTGCTGGGAGCCTTTCCTGTTTCTTCCTTTCCACCCCAACACAGTCTGGGTCCCTCGCTTGCACTTTCTTTGTTCCTCTGTAATGCCCTCTTGAGCATATAGTGGGTTTTAGGTCATTCGTGGATTTAATTAGGAAAATTGCACTGTCTAAAATAGTAGAGAGGGAAAATAACAATCTAAATAGCATTGGTGAGTTTATTTACCATTCCCCTTAGTTAGTGTCCAATCTGTTGAGCATATGGACAAGTGTTCTTTTGCTTCAGTTTCCTTATCTGAAAAGTGGGGATAAGAATTAAATGAGGTTGTGTTTTTAAGGCCCTTAGCATAGAATCTGACTTGTGGCTCACAGCTCCTAGTAAATGCCCTTTAAGTGGTTGCTACTGCTATTGCAATTATGTGGATTACAGATGGAGAAGTTGGGTTCCAGGGTCTGAGAAGCTACCATAGCAATCTAGGTGTTGGCTAACAGAGGCCTGCATTCCCAGAGAGGAGTGTGAGTGCATTTGGGGTGGGGCATAGACAAATACAGGAGGTGAGAGAGAACATTTTTAAGTTTGTTTTTTAATTTTCTTTTTTTTAAAGATTTATTTATTTATTTTAGAGTGTGGGGAGTGGGGAGGGGCAGAGGGAGAAAGAGGATCTCAAGCAGACTTGGCGCTGAGCATGGGGGCCCAACGCTGGGCTTGATCTCACTACCCTGAGATCATGACCTGAGCCAAAACCAGTAGTCAGTTGTTCAACCAACTGAGCCACCCAGGCGCCCCTGTTTTTTTAATTTAATTTATTTCTTAAAGGATTTTATTTATTTATTTGACAGGGACACAGCGAGAGAGGCAATATAAGCAGGGGGAGCGGGAGAGGAAGAAGCAGGGTTCCCGTGGAGCAGGGAGCTTGATGCGGGGCTCGATCTCAGGACCCTGGTTTCATGACCTGAGCCAAAGGCAGATGCTTAACAACTGAGCCACCCAGGCGCCCCTATATTGGACTTTTTTTTTTTTTTTTTTTTTTAAAGATTTTATTTATTTGACAGTGAGAGATACAGCGAGAGAGGGAACACAAGCAGGGGGAGTGGGAGAGGGAGAAGCAGGCTTCCTGCTGAGCAGGGAGCCCGATGCGGGGCTCGATCCCAGGACCCCGGGATCATGACCTGAGCCGAAGGCAGATGCTTGACTGAGCCACCCAGGCGCCCCGTTGTTTTTTAATTTTAACATACAACTCTCTCTGATACTGGAAGTAAAAATGGGGAGATAGATGCATTCATAATTTGTTGAAATAAAAGCGAAGGCTTTTGAGGGAGCTCATGATTTTGTATCTTAGTCTTGGTGATGTGCCAATGGAGAGTCATATGCTTGCTTTCTATTTCTTTGGAATAACTGGGGCTCTTAAGGAAATCAAAAGAGGTCAGATTTATAAGAATTGGGAGTTGGCAAGAGAAACCACAGAAACTGAGAGAAAGAATGATTGAAACAAATGCAAGGCCAGGTTGTAACAGTATTTATGATAGCCATGAAGATCTTCTAATGGTGTAGGCCTCTTTACGAGCCCACATGGCGTGTTTTAAAGAGCATTCCTCAGTGGTCAGGAAGAGCAGAATATATGCAGTCATTTGGTAATTGATATTATAAAGTTGCATTAGCTTTGCATCAATTGTGTATTCAAATCTGAGATATGTGAGGAGTCTAAAACTTGTGCCATCTACTAGTTACATATATTACATAATATTAGCTTGCTCGTTACTGCTTCTAATTAGAGACTTATCATTTAGACCGGAGGATTTCTTAGTGCCAGAACTTCAGGCAACTGAAGAAGAGAAAAGCAAATTAGAATCTGGCTTGACAAATGGAGATGAACCCATGGATCAGGATTTATCTGATGTTCCTACCAAGTGTATTTCTACGACAGAGTCTATTGAAATAAAGTAAGTGCTTTTTGTTGCATTTTTGAAACTAGATTATAAGATAAAATTTTAAGAACTTGAATTACATAATTTACATTGTTTCAAAAGTGAAATTTCTGAATATCCTCTAGTAAGTTTGTACTTTTAAAATTTAATTTCTTTGTCAATGCAAAGACCTGTGAAGTGTGGTGGCATTTTGTTTTCATTAATGGTATTTAAATGCCAGTGTGATTGAGTTGGTGGTGAGGTGGGGTTTAAACATTAAATTGCACATTTATACGAAGAAACATTCTGGCCTTTTCAGTAAGTCCAGTAGCACGTGAACTTGTGCAGTTCACAAGTTTAATTTTTCTAAGTGTTTTATAAACATACTCCTCGACTTAAACATCTCCAGGGCCCTAATGTCTTAAAAATGTTACTATAACCTGAAGTAGTAAATAAACCTTTTTTCTTTTGGTACAGTTAATAACGCCAGTAAATCATCATTCTGGAATTTTTTTTAAGTCATTAGAGAGCAAAGTGATTTATTTGTCTAGTGCTATCGTTTAGTATATATTTTGGGGTACAGCTGATATCTAAATAATGCATATTAACAGTATCACAAAATTCTCTCTAGAATGGCTGTATATCGATTTATATTTTTGCTAGCAGAATCATCCTGTTTCCCTATCATCCCTGTTTCCCTACCAACATTTGGCATTATCTAACTCTTAACGTCTTCCAGCCTAGTAGGTATAGGGTAACGTATCACTACTGTTTAAATTTGTCTTACTGTGGTTATTAATTTATCTTCTTCAAATGCATGTTACCTTTTTTGTTTTCTGTGAAGTCCATGTGTGTGGCCTTCGTACATTTTTCTCTAGCGGTTGCTGCCTTTTTGTTACTGATTTGCAGGGGTTCATTGTATATTTTGGATATTAGCCCTGGTTGGTTTCAGACAATGCAAATATCCTCTCCCATTCTGTTACTTGTTTATAAGAATTGTCCATGGTCTACTTTGTTTAAAAAAAATCTTTAGTTTTTTTGTAATGAAATAATATTTTCCATTTTCCATTATGGTTGTTGGGATTATATATAAGGAAGTCCCTCCTTGTCCATGGTCACAAACATAATTCGTACATAAATGTGAAAAATCTTCACATTTCTCTTTTATGGCTTCAACTCAACCTGCTGTTGTGTGTGGCATTAGATCAGGATCCAGTTTTATTTTTCTTTATATAGTATGTGAGTTATTTTTTTCTAATAATACCTATTGAATAATCCATAATCCTTCCTGTTCAAATACATATTAACAATATAACATGTGTATTCCTCGAATCCTCATTTTATATATTGTATACATTTCTTTCCTGATGATAAAAGCCATCAATAACATAGTTTTGGAGTTAACTTATCCGAAAAGTAAGCTTGAATAATCCTAATTACAGAGCCAGGGTTACTTACATAGACTACGAAGGACGCTCTGATGGAGATTCCATTAAAAAGATCATTAATCAGATGAAACCACGACAGCTGATCATTGTCCATGGACCACCAGAGGCCAGTCAGGATCTTGCAGAGTGCTGCCGTGCGTTTGGCGGGAAAGATATTAAGGTGTACATGCCAAAGCTACACGAAACGGTTGATGCCACTAGTGAAACTCACATCTACCAGGTGAGTGTGCTGGCATTTGGGCCGTACAGAAATAAATACTTTTTGTTGCAGATGAGGACAGTAGATTAGCAAGACAGTGGTGAATGAGACAGACATGGTCCCCTTGTCTTAGTAGATCTTATGGTCTGTGGGGCTTATAACAAGGAAAGAGCATTTCTCACATTGTTATTACCTCTGATAGAGAAAGTACAGGATGTTGTGAGACCCCAACCCAGATGTGGAGGTTTAGAAAAGATTTCCCAGAGGAAGTGATAACTAATCTGAATCCTAACATGTTTAGATGGATCATCAGGGTGGTATAGAGTGTGTGTGTTTGGGGGAAAGGTATTCCAGGGCAGACGGAACAACATTTGCAAGTGTGTAAAGGTGAGAGGAATGGGGACTAGTCGAGAATTCAGAAGTTTTATAAAAATGCACTGAGGTCAAGGGTCTATTCCTAATTGAAAAAAATGGAAGCAGGTATAAAAAATAGAAATAGCACAGAGGAGAGAATAGATTTTATCTGGAAGGGGGAAGATGGTGTCAGTTAAAGAAGGAGCGATGTCTAGATTTGTTTGGAAAAAATGGGTTGGAATTCACCAGGCAGCAAAGTTATTCTGGGCAGAAAAGAGGAAGCAGCATTCCAAGAATATGGATGTGTGAAATTCATGGTAGTGAAGGAAACAGTAAGTAATTCGGTACTCCTGAAGAGCAGCAACGACTAGAGGATGAGGCTTATCAGTGGTTCTCAACCTTGGCTGCACATGAGAACCATCTGGGGAACTTCGGGGGTGATGGGGGGACTCAGTGCTCTGGATTTAGTCTCACCAGTTGTGTTAGAGTCACTGAAGGTGGGACCCTGGCATTAACATGTATTTTAAGAAATTGCCATGTGATCCCAGTGTGCAGCCAAGGGTTAAGAACCTTTTGGAGAGTAGACAGCGGTCCTAATCTCACAGGTCACTAGGTCATTACCAGTCATGGTGAAGATCAGATGAGTGAAAGATTTTCGAATCTTAATACACATTACCAGCGTTAGGAAATAATAATAACTGGTTATATTTTGTTGTTAATTTATACTCTGGGTTTTGTCTCTCTTCCTCTCTAGGTGAGATTGAAAGATTCACTTGTCAGCTCCCTTCAGTTTTGTAAGGCAAAAGATGCCGAATTAGCTTGGATAGATGGTGTCTTGGACATGAGAGTTTCCAAAGTGGACACAGGAGTTATTTTAGAAGAAGGAGAACTGAAGGATGATGGAGAAGACTCAGAAATGCAAGTGGACGCTCCTTCGGATTCTAGTGTTATAGCACAACAGAAGGCCATGAAGAGTCTGTTTGGGGATGATGAGAAAGAGACAGGTGAAGAAAGCGAGATCATTCCGACCTTGGAGCCCTTACCCCCCCACGAGGTAAAAAAGCACATGCCTCCGGATTTTTCTTTTATGTTTTTAACTCTTTAAAATATGTGTCCTGTGTAGGCTGATTTTGGAGTTCTAGAAAAAGATTACTTAAGATACGGTTGTGTGTGTGCACATACCAGCATGTGTATATATCCTGACGGCAAGGGAATGATAATTTAAAGGAAACGTTTACCAAATATTATAAGATACATTATTGTTTTGTAATTTATTGTTTCAGTATTTAAATTTTGATTGTGAGGATTATATCCTATACCTGCTTCCATTCAGGAGATTTATAGTTTTCTAAGACTGAAACTCTTGTACTCCATTTTTGTATGTTGTCAATTCAGCTGAAATCACTTTTGGTTTTGATACAGTTAGAAATATTTTATTAAGCATAGATATAATTTTAATATAGTATTTTCATGTTCTCAGGAGATACTCTAGTTAGCAAAGATTTCAGGTAATTACAACGACAGTGTTAAAACTGTATGATAAGAGTCCTGCGTGCATGTCGGGGACTCTAGCCTTTCTGTGCAACAGGAGTAGAGAGACAGCTTCTGTCACTGGATTCCCTTCTAGTAATACTCTTGAGATTGGGGGAGGAATAAGAATCTTTTTTTTCCCTCTGTGCTAAAGCTAGTGCTCTTCAAGGCAATTTCCAAGTAGCAGCAATAGGTTGAACCGCTTGTTTTTCTGATTCTAAAACCCTTGGTGTCCATTGCATTTACTCTCAGGGAGAAGGGAAGGTGAAAGTGGGATCAGGGGCGAACTCCCCTCAGAACTAAGTGAAGGACTAGAAAATGAATTTTTTGTTTCAGTTCTGCCTACTGGCACTCTCCTTGACCCCCTCAGGCAAGTGGGTGAGTGAAAAGCATAACATCACCAAATGTCTCTCTGTTACTGTGAGGCATGACTAATAAAATTGGGAAACATTCAGAAAATGTGAAGGGCTTTGTGATGTTAAATAAGGAGGTAAAATTCAGAATAACAACTTGGAATGTGATTTACAGCCTTGATACGATCTGTCAGAGGTCTTCAGGTCTATCTCTAAGATAGAAAGTATCTTAGAGATCATGTGTTACTTGACTTTATTCAGTACAACTGTGTGTCTGGTGTTTTATCTGAAGTTATTCTTTCCCCTTTAACCTTTTCTAAGGTTCCTGGACATCAGTCAGTTTTTATGAATGAACCAAGACTGTCAGACTTCAAACAAGTTCTCTTACGGGAGGGGATTCAAGCTGAATTTGTAGGAGGTGTACTTGTTTGCAACAACCAAGTAGCAGTCCGTAGAGTAAGTATGTTTTTAATAAGGGATGAATTGAACAAATACTTCCTTCTGATGCAATGCCATTTTGAATTCTGTAATTCTTGATTGGTAATTTCACAAACTGAAGACCATAATTTATATTCGTAATGATGAACTTAAAGGCTTATAAAAGTGACTCTCAAAGAAATGATGTATGATTTTATTGTAAAATTTTATTATTTGAATCCTGATATTTACGTGTCTATGTAAAATTCATGATTTGAATGTTATATCCATATTCTGTGCAGAGCAACCCATTTCCAGACCAATCACCAAATAACCTAGTTAATATATCTTGTTTATTATGTCTGCATATTAATGAACAGGAAATGTACTAAAGATTTATTTTTTACTTTTACTTTCTAGACGGAAACTGGACGCATTGGATTAGAAGGCTGCCTTTGTCAAGATTTTTATAGGATAAGAGACCTTTTATATGAACAGTATGCCATTGTGTAAAGGATATGATGTCAAGAAGTATCTGTTTGACTTTTCTAAGAAAAAAGCGTTCTTATTCTAAGCTTTTGCTTTTTTGTTTTGTAACATACAAAAAGAATTGCCAGAAAAATTTAACATGCATTAGATTTTTAAAAAAATGTAAATAGAGTCCATTTTGCTAATGTTCAAATGAGCGTTCTACCTTTTGGCTTTCAGAGTGATAGAGATCCTAACAAGTGCGCAGGCCCGAGTATTGAAGGTGATTGGTTTCCTCTATAGACCCCTTATTCTAGAAGGACGTTTTACTTGAATAAAACAATGCAACTTAGCAAACCAGCTCATGGCCTTAGAGAAACATGTTTGCATGTTGTGAGTTCTTGCAAACGGTTTCTTAACATTTTCTGGAATGAAAAGTGAGAATTATTTAGAAAAGATATGCTATATAAAAAATAACTGGTGGAACAGTTTTTTGAGGCCTATGTGTTTGAAAAACAACAAAAAGAAAACAAAGAGTTTGTGCTCTAACTCTTCTTTTGAATTCTGATAGGCAGTTGTCTTCACATGGGGCATATCTCCTTACCTGTATTTCCCAGTTAGTCAGTCCAGGAAGGTGGTGCACACTTGGTTCAGAAATCAATTTTTATTTCTCCCATTTCTTGTTTTATCAAGATGTTCAGTTTGAATTACAACACCATCATTTGAATACACATAATGCAAAAGAACTCCTTGCCATGTTACAGTCTTAAGGATTCTGTATACATTTTAGCTATCAGCTAGGTTACTTCATTGGAAACTGTTTAGTGCTCTGTTTTTAAGGAAACAAATGTTGAACCTCATATTTTTATAAGATAATAGTATAATTTAATCAAAAGGTGTAAATGTTTTCAACACTTAGGCTTGCTCCCTCCTAAGGTTGCTGAAGCAGTGGATGGATTTTATATACCTAAGTACAAAAATGATACTGAAGTTGGATAAGGTCATCCTTTCTGTGTTCCTGTCTTTGTTGGGGCTGGCAGCCCTGGTATTCTATAAGCCACTTGTGTTTAAGAGTAAAAACTGAACATATGCAATTTTCATTGAACTTAAAAATGAAAATCATGTTGTCCTCTTGTAATCTGTTGATGCTTTTTCAGTGTGTAGCTTGATCATGGCAGTCCTTGATCTTTACTTCTTAAGTAATTAAGCCCTCTTCCTCATACTTAGCATTTTTAGAAGGATCATTCCTGTTTAACTTATATGGATCTATGTACAGTATGGTACTACCCAGTGATATCAGACTAGAATTAATATTCTCTTTCAGAGCTTACAGAGAATTTGTTGTGGATTATAGTGCTAACACAAAGTTACAGTCTTCTGATACCAAAAACCAGAATGCAAAACAACATTACAGAAGGTGACAATAAAGAGTATTTTTTTTTTTTTTGTAGAGCTTTGAAGAAATTTCACTTAAATTCTTGTTACTGAAGAGAGTAAGCCTGGAATCATCCTATTTATATTCCAGGAGAAAGAAAGTCAGCATTTGTTACATGGCTTAAAGCATCTGGTTATACATATTACATTGCAATACTGATACTGAAAAATTATTTCTCGCTTAGCCTTTTGATTGTCTTATGAAAAAGGAATTAAATTTTAAAGTACTTCTTGAAGATGGCGTCATTTCTAAAATGAAGACATTTGTTTAGCGTTAGTTACTTAAGAAAAATACAAATTTAAAAAAGGACTATAAATACATCATGAACTCAGAGGAATTTTCAGATTTTGTTTCGAGGCAAACTAAATACAAGTGGACCATCAGCTGATATGTAGAATAATTTGGTTAAAGAGAAATTTTATTGTAGTATTTGTTACAATGGATTATAAATGTCAAGTATCATTGCAAAGTTTTCTATTTTCATGAACCAGTAGGTGGTCTGAAATAGAAGTGAGGAAATCAGTTTTCTAAGGAGGGCCTTTTTCTAAAAAAATTGAAATTCACATACCATAAAGTTCACTCTTTCAAAGTATATAATTCATCGGCTTTTAGTATATTTAGAGTTGTGCAACCATTACCACTCTCATTCCAGCACATTTTCATCCCCCCAAAAGAAACTCTACATCCATTAGCAGTCACTTCCCATTTTCCCTTCACCCCAGCCCTAGGCAACCATCAGTTTATTTTCTGTCTCTATGGATTTGCCTATTCTGAATATTTCATAAAAATGGAATCATACAATATGTGGCCTTTTGTGTCTGACTTCTTTCGCTTAGTATAATATTTTTGAGATTGATACTGTAGCATGTATCAGCATTCTTTATGTGGTTGAATAATAGTCCATTGTGTGGATACACCACATTTTGTTTATCCATTCTTCAGTTGATGGACATTTGGGTGGTTTCTGCTTTTTGGCTATTATAAATAATGCTGCCCTGAGCATTCCTATATAAGTTTTTCGTGTGGATGTATGTTTTTAGTTTTGGGGGGCATATACCTAAAAGAATTGCTGGATAATACAATAACTCCTTTGAGAAACTGTCAGGTTTCCAAACTTTATTTCTAAACTATTTCCCCCAAAAATGCCTGTACTATTTTTTACATTCCCACCAGCAGGATTCAAGGATTCCAGTTTCTCCACATCCTTGGCAACACTTGTTACCCTGTTTTTTTATTCTAATCATCCTAGTGTGTGTGAAGAGGTATCTCATTGTGGTTTTGATTTGCATTTCCTTCATGACTAATGATGTTGAGCATCTTTTCTGTACTTATTGGCCATTTGTATGTCTTTAGAGAAAGGTCTGTTCAGATTCTCCTGCCCATTTTTTAGTTATCTTTTTTGTTGTTGAGTTATAGTAGTTTTTAAATACACTTGGGATACTTAAATCCTTATCAGATATGTGATCTGCAAACATTTTCTCCCATTCTGTTTGTTTTTCACTGTGTCCTTTGAAGCACGAAAGGTTTTAATTTTGATGAATTAGGATTTAGGTTTTTTTCTTTTGGTTCCATGTGCTATTGGTGTCATATCTTAGAAACCATTGCTTCATCCAAGGTCACAAAGATATATACCTTTTTCCTATGAGTTTTATAGTTTAAACTCTTGAGGTCTTTGAGTCCTTTTGAGTTAATTTTTGTATAAGGTATGAGGCAGAGGTTCAATTTCATTCTTCTGCATGTGGCTATCCAGTTGTCCCAGCATGGTTTGTTGAAAAGACCATTTCCTCATCAAATTTCACCTTTGCTGAAAGTTGCTCATAAATGTATGAGTTTGTTCTTGGACTCTCAGTTCTATCTCATTGATTTATATAATATATCCTTATGCCAATACCACATTGTCTGGACTACTATTAAGTTTGAGATTGGCAAGTGTGAGCCCTCCAACTTTGTTCTTTTTCAAGATTGTTTTGTTTTTTCTGGTTCTCTTTGGATGTCAGTGTGAATTTTAGAATCAGCTTATCAATGTCTGCAGAAAACCTATAGGGGAAAAAAAAAGTAGTTGAAATTTAAATCCTACAGCGTAAGATCTTACAACGTTATGGCCGAGGAAGACTGGAATTCATCTTATTCAATTCACTTATTTTACTGTTGGATGAGTGGGCCTCAGGAAGGGAAGGAATTTGCTTGAGAGCCTCGTAGCTGGTCAGAGTGGGAGTGGGACCCAGTCTTATAGAGCCCCTTCATTCGGTACTAAATGAATGGATCTAGAATCCTTATAGAACCCACTGAACACTAAAATAAGTGAGTTGAACTAGATCAACTCCACAGTCTCTACCCTAACATTATGAGATGTAAGGCTGTAAATTTCAACTACTTTTTGTCTTCTGTGCTGCTGTGCTTTAGTTCCTTAGTTTATGTTCACCTTGGGTAAGCATACTAGTGGTGCGTAATCCGTGCTTGAGACGCTGATTGTTTTGGGGCTGGCTGTTCCTTGCCACCGCCTTCCCCTCTTTTATTCATCCATTCGGTAACTGTAGAATGAACATATAAGTGAAGATGTAGTGGGAACTAGAGAAGGAACATTCGGATCTGCCTACCTGAGCAGGGATCAGGGAGGGGTGTTTTTCTTCTCCTTTTGCTTGTCTCTTACTTTTAACCACCTCAGATGCATCTCTGAGAAAATGCCAAAAATGGCCAAAATAAATAAACCCAGGACTTTGCAGGAAGTGAGAGTATCTTTGTTCTGTCCTCTCTCTCTTCCCCTTTCCTCCCCACCGTGTGCACACACAGCTGTCTTTTTTGGGGGGAGGGGGGTGCCCAGGCCTATTTCATTTTAGTTCTTGAAGTCAAAATACGATTGCAAAGAGCAAAAAAGTGTGGAGAGTTTTAAATTTCTCTTCACTGTAGTTGAAGTATATGTGCCCTTTTTGTGAGGTTGTTAATGGAGTCCATGGATCCTGCTCAAATTTTTGATATCGAATGATAATCTCAAGTGGAGAATGTATGAAGGATTCATACAGGCTTACCACATCATTTTCTGAGGTTTTGTTGATTGTAATGTTCAGTATCCAGCTTATTATATTTCCTTCTTTTCCTCTGAAATTTTTGTTCTTAAGGCACTGCTAAATTGAACATTCACAACTAGTGAAGTCCTAACCCAATCTCTGTGGGAAGCTGTTTTTATTCCAAGGATGCTGCTGTTGTCCTTGTTTTTAATATTCTGGGAGCTCTCATTTCTCTTTAGATTCATTTACCAAGCTTATGAGGAACGTAAATTATTTTAGAAACAACTTGCAGTCTTGACCCAACATGACATTATCCCTTGACTCTAAATGAAGGGCGGGGGGGGGGGGGGAGATTAAAAAAAACCTCTTCTATAGACAGACATTTGCTATCATTGGAGATTTTTTATATTAAACAGTTATTTAACCCCAAACTATAATTTAAAGCAGAATATACCAGAAATCGTAAAGATATTCTAATTTCCAACGTAAGTCATGGTTCAGGTTAAATTTCATATTTAAATATCAAGGGACATAAATCTCTAATGAGATCGTGTAAATCCTTTATCAGTTATGAGAAAAAATTACTTAAATGTACAGGACTCAAATTCTCAAGGTTTTTCCATATCATATGTGTGATTATTTTTTTTCAAGGAGATAAACCATTGCAGGAAGAAAGAAGCATGTTTAATGAAGATTCAGAATATTGCACATTTTTAACTGTTAAGTAGGATTTTATTTTATTTTATTTTAAAGATTTTATTTATTTATTTGAGACAGAGAGAATGAGAGAGAGCATGAGAGGGAGGAGGGTCAGAGGGCGAAGCAGACTCCCTGCCGAGCAGGGAGCCCGATGCGGGACTCGATCCCGGGACTCCAGGATCGTGACCTGAGCCGAAGGCAGTCGCTTAACCAACTGAGCCACCCAGGCGCCCTAATTCTTAACTTATTTTGAAATAATTTTAAACTGATGGAAAATTTACAAGAATAATTTAAAAAATCTTATATATTCCTTGCCTGTTAACATTTTGCCCTATTTACCTTATTCTCTCTCTGTATACGTATTAATTTTTGAATTGATACCAAGTTGCAGTTATGATGTCCCTTTAGCCATAACTACAGTACTTCCATCAAAATCAGGAAACCAGTATTGATAAAATTCTACCATTTAATCCACAGACCCCATTCAAATGCTACCAGTTATTCTAAAAACGTCCTGGGCGCCTGGGTGGCTCAGTTGGTTAAGCGACTGCCTTCGGCTCAGGTCATGATCCTGGAGTCCTGGGATCGAGTCCCGCATCGGGCTCCCTGCTCGGCGGGGAGTCTGCTTCTCCCTCTGACCCTCCTCCCTCTCGTGCTCTCTGTCTCTCATTCTCTCTCTCTCAAATAAATAAATAAATGAAATCTTTAAAAAAAAAAATAAAAAAATAAAAACGTCCTTACGATAATCCTTGCCTTTTTGCTCCAGGGTCTTGTTCACGGTGCTGCATGTGTTCAGTTAGGTTTTTCCCTCCTATTTTCCTCAACCTGGAGCACTTCTTCGGTTTTTCCTTTTTTAACAAAAAATTTTTTAAAGACCTTGATATTTTTGAAGAGTGCTGGCCAGTTACTTTGTAGAATGGCCCTTACATTGGGTTTGTCTGATGCCTCACAGTTAGAATCCGGTTATGAATTTTTGGCAGGAATACGAGAGAAGTGATGCTGTGTTCTCTGTGTTCTATCAGGAGGCGCTCGGTGTCTGTTTTTGCCATTACCAGTGATGTTAATTGTTAATAATTGGTTATGTCTGCAAGGTTTTTCCACTGTGAAGTTAGTATCTTGTACTTAATAATTAATGAGGAATAAGTGTCTTACGGGGAGCTACTATGGGACTATATCAGTATCTGTTTTTGTATAAATTTTTATCCTCTGATTTTAGCATCCATTGATGATTCTTATCTGAATCAGTCATTGCCAAATGCTGGCTTTCTAATTATACTCTTACGTCCACATGTAATTGGCATTCTAGTGTCATACTTTCTCTTCTCCCCCATTTATTTGTTTATTTATAGCAGTATGGAACATGGATTCTGTTTTATAATCTACAAACTATCATGATGGATTGTGAGTCTCCAGTTGCCCTAGGTCTGGCTAGTGGGAGCACGCTCAAGCTGGCTTCTGTGCTCTTTAACATGGTCTCAGGTTTCTTTTTTTCTTTTAATTGTGTGAAAAAACATAACATTAAATCATCTTAACCATTTTTAAGTGTACAGTTCAGAAGTGTTAAGTGTATTCGTGTTATTGTGCAACAGAGCGCTAGAACTTTTTCATCTTGTAACACTGAATCTCCATACCCACTAAGCACTAACCCCCAGGCCCAGCTCCCCGCTCCCAGCCCTTGGTACTTTGTTTTTTACTACTTTTTTTTTGTTTTTTAGCCATAACTACAGTACTTCCATCAGTACTTGTTTTTTACTACCACCTTTCTACTTTGTTTCTGTGATTTTTGACTGCTTTAGATTGTGAGTGGAATCATAGGGTATCTGTCTTTTTTGTGACTAGCTAATTTCACTTAGCATAATGTCCTCAGGGCTCATCCATATTGTAGCATGTGACAGGATTTCCTTCCTTTTCATTTATTTAAATTTTTTCCTTCCTTTTTTAAGGCTGCATTTTTCATTGTGTGGATATACCACATTTTCCTTATCCATTTATCTGTCAGTGGACATTTGGGTTACTTCTACCACTTTATTATGACTCACACTGTGATGAACGTGGATGTGCAACTGTCTCTCGGAGATGCTGCTTTCAGTTCTTTGGGT